CATTTTTAAGAATTTATTTACTTATTTTAAAGACACAGTTACAGAAGGTGAGGAACAGAGAGAGAGAGAGGTAAGAGAGAGAGCCTCCATCTGCTGCTTCACTCCCCAAATGGCTGCAATAGCCACAGCTGGGCCTGGCCGAAGCTGGGGGCCTGGGACTCCATCCAGCTCTCTTCCATGGATGGCTGAGACCCAAGTACTTCAACCACCTTCTATTGTATTCGCATGTCATTAGCAGGGAACTGGATCAGAAATCGAGCAGCGGAATGTAAACAGGTACTGGCTTCACAGGTATCAGCTTAACCCTACCGCACAACACTACCAATCTCTATATTTTACATCTTAAGAAAAACTCCAAGCAACTCCAGTTTCTATTCTTTTTCTTCTTTTTTCTTTTTCATTCTTCTCTCTCAATTACTGGGCAGTGTTTGGACTTTAGCTTAAGGATGCAATGTCAAAAATAACAGGGAAGGTCGGGTATGTCCTGGCATGTAAGGGCACGTGCATCCCATGTTGGAGTGCTGATTTGAGTCCTGGCTTCTCCACTTCTGATCTAGTTCACTGCTAATAATGAGCCTGGGAAGTAGCACATGATGACTTCAGTATTTGGGCCCCTATCACCCATGTGGGAGACCAGGATGGGATTCCTGACTCCTGGGTTAAGTCTGTTCTATCCCTGGCTGTTGTGGCCATTTGGGGACTGAAACTGTGGTTGGAAGATCTCTTTCTGTTTTTCATTCTTTATGTCACTCTGCCTTCTAAATAAATAAATAAGGTATCTTTTACAAAATAAAAATAAAAAAGAATGCAATTTTATTTCCCCAATTCAGAAATGCTCAGACTAGAATCCTCTTAGAATTCTTTCCTAGACCCAACACATTTTAAACGTTCTCCTTGAACCAGTTTCAAACCTTTTTGACAATTAGTTTACATTTATGTCCCTCTATGTCTCTAAAAATCCAATGGCATAAACATGGAGGGTTTCATGGATAGACTTTTCAGTATTTGTCTGAAATGAGAAGCCTTTGCTAAAAGCCGAAAAGAGAGCAAGGTGTTTGTTGAACTCAGACACCTTCTTTCACTTTCCAGTGAAAATATCACAGAGAAATAGAGAACAGAGAGGAATTAGATTTTAAAAGAATAAGCCTTGTAATAAAAACTTCAATGATATCTACTGTCCATCTGTGGAATTCTTAACCTGAATTAAAGCCGGTAGACATCTTCATGTGGTCACATGGTGTGCAAGGCACAAAGTGACTAACTATAAGATCATCCTCTGTCTTAAATTAAAGCAAATGTAAGATATAAATATTTGGGAAAAAATCTTTTATTTTCTTTGGAACGAGAAAGAGATTTTTACCTGAATATTATTATAGTGATTTTTTTTCTATCATCAGTGAAAAGTAAGTTTAATTTTCATGAGACTTAATATGAGAGCCAACACATACCATGTTCTGAAGAGAAAACCACAGAACTCAAAAGAAATATCACAAATTAGGAAATAGCATAGATTTGAGAAAGTTCTAAATTTGGATAGTGTTTTACTACTGTTCACTTATTTTAAAAAGTTTTATTATTTGAAAGGAAGTGTGTGTGTGTGTGTGTGTGTGTGTGTGTGTGAGAGAGAGAGAGATATGGAGAGAGAGAGATATTAATCTTCTATCGGATGGTTCATTCCCTAGATGGCCAAAACAGGCAGGTCTGAGCCAGGCTGAAGCCAAGAGTCAGGGACACCATCCTGGTCTCCCACTTGGGTAGCAGAGAGTCCAAGTACTTGGACCATCTTCCATTGCCTTCCCAGATGCATTAGCAAACCTGATCAGCAGTGGATCACTGGGACTTGGGTCAGTATTCATATGGGAGATCAGCCTGATCATAAGTGGCAGCTTAACTGGCTGTATCACATTGTCAGCCCCTTCTTTTTAATTCTGCAAGAATACCAGGATAATTGTTTCTCTAAGAGACTCAAGTCACTTTTCAATAACCAAACTGATTATTGTTTATTTATTTTTCTTTCCAAGCATGATCTAAAAGAAATGACAAAAGCTATAAAGAAGAAGGTTTTCATTCTCATCGGGTTCTGGGGTGTGAATGAGTCCAGTTAGAATTGTTCCTGTGGCACAACTTCACATATCAAATGCCCCACAGAACAAAACCAAGGATTTTAATGGAAACCAATCATCAGATTTGATCAGTAATGTTGTTCAAGGTATTAAACTAGTGATCTGAGTGAATTGTGCCAGTTTCTCCCAACATTAAGTAATAAATAATTACTATGTATGAAAATTCAGAATATCAGAGTCAGTGTTGTCCCATAGCAAGTAAAGCTGCTGCCTGTGACACTGGCATCCTGTATGGGCAGTAGTTCCTGTCCTGGCTGCTTCACTTCTGACCCAGCTCCCTGCTAATGGCCTGGGAAAACAGCAGAAGATAACCCAAGTGTTTGGGCCCCTGCCATCCATGTGGGAGACCAGAAAAGCTCCTGGCTCCTGGCTTTGATTGGCCCACACACAACCATTGTGGTCATCTGGGGAGTGAACCAGTGGATGGAAGATTTCTCTCTCTCTCTCCCTCTCTCTCTTTCCCTCTGTAATTCTGACATTCAGAATAAATCAATCTTTAATTTAAAAAATAAAAAATGCAGAATCTCTTATTAAATAAGTACAAAACACTGAGTTAATACAATTTTTTAAAAGTTAGTATTTTAAAAATTTCACCAAGACCTTGGAACATATGCGAGTCAATTCATAAACACATTTTATTTCCCTTTTTACTTCTTTTTTTGCTTTCTATCACTCCAGGAAGAAACTCTTGCAAAAATATCTTCAGGTACATAGAAAAATACAACACGTGTAGCTTTATAGAGTTTGATAGATAGAAACAAAATCAAATTCCACCTCACACACGATATTCCTAACTCCTGATTATTTGAGCTTCAGAGAGGGAGCTTTCTGGATTGACAGCATCGGTGTTCTGACCTTCTGAATCTACACTGTTCCCATCACATGTCTGAGGCCTCTTTTGTGCTCCTGTTACTTCTAGTGTCTTGCCCCTACTCTTTTGCCTCCATATCGCATAGAAATTCTACACTGGCACCACATTTAAAATGATCTCCTTTGGATACTCGAACAGCAGGGAAGATTGTTATTCATTTGCAGCAAGAAGCTCAATCATTTCTGGGTTCCAATTAGAGAAAGCCTAGAGGCCTTCTTTATTAAGATGAAACACAAATTGAATCAAGACTTGCTAAACCACTTAATATTTTTATGGTGATATTAAGAAGCTTGAACATTTTAAATACTAATTGGAAATATGTGCAGCTATTTTTTAATCTATGCATTAACTCTAACCTCCATTTCGTCCCAGTCACATCTTATGGTGCTAACTCTTTTGCCAACTGAAAGATTTACCACACAGTAGGATCAAGAATCCTTGATGGATTCAGTTCAGTATTAGCAAAGACTTACTTACACTACTGTATCTTCTTGTTAACCAGTTTTGCAAGGTTTTACTTTTTCATTACTTCCTGGAAGAGAGCATATTTTAAGGAAAAATATTTTAAATACAAACTCTCAACTTAGTTTAATTATATCCTTAACTATGTTTTTATAAAAACAATTTAAAAATACATGTATAAATTTAGTTGCATATTTACAGAACCATGTGCTCTAAGATGTGACTGAAAGCTTATATAGAGAAAAATCATAGCAGTTTGAATTTCAGGGAATTTGATTGTATCAAAATATGTAAATACATGCATATAATTATGTGTATGTGTTTAAAAAATTCAAGTTCTACAGTAAGAAAATATTACCCCTTAGTATCATAAAATACTTCCATTGAGTAGGTAGTATTATGCAGAGAAATGTTCAAAAAGTCAAATTATCTTTAATGTGATGGTTATTATCACCCTTATGTGGCTCTGTAGAAAAGATGAAACTTCTGTTAGTTATGCTACAAATCCCACTTTTATTTCACCTGTTTTTCTTCTTCAAGGGAGGTTAAAAATATACATGATATAAGATTACCCAGGACATTTTAAAATAGATATTAATAAATCAAATAGCAACTAGCAGATATAGGTTATATGAAACTAGTTGAGTAGTATATTAATGGTTTGGCTATTATTAGTAAGACTATGAGAGTGAGTTGTCTATATAACTGAATGATATAAACTGTAATTTTTTTAATAATTTCTCTATACCCAGTTTCTGCATCTTTTAAATCACATAATGCTCTTTCAGCATTGTCCTGCTTTCAGTTTTGATAAAATTGTCTTCCTTCTTTGCTTTCTGCCTCTGTAGAGATAAGAAAAAATAAACAGTTTACTATATTCTACTACTCACTTACTACAGCAATTCACTCTGGTCTTCAAAATGTACATGGGGATTTTTCTATCAACCATCAGTTCCTCAGCGCACACGGTCTGAGTGCTCTGTAATCCCTCTCTGTTCCACATGACGTGCTGAAGCCAGGCTCTCAGGAAAAACCCTTGGAGGAATGGGAAAAGAGGCAGAGGGAAATTGGGAAAAGCGTCAGGTAGTTTCAGACACAAAATGCAGCAAAGAGGTACCTCCAAGTGCAAAGGTGGAATTCCTGGTTTCTCTGGGGAAGACTTGCTCCGGAGCCTTACGTCAGTCCTCTGATGTGAGATGCGAGTCATTAGCAGCAGGATCTGGGCCACAGGACCAGAGGTAACTGCTATCACTCTTCCAGGATGCTGGGTCAGGGTAGCAGCACTGACTGCTACGAAGACGCAATGAGTTAGTTCTTCAATGTAGGTCTTCCTAATTAAGTAGACTAGAATTAAATTATATTTATGATTCCTCCAACTCTTCAGTGAATTCATGGTGGTTCTTTGCAACCTTAGAAGCTAGCATGAGATTACACACATACACACAAAAGGTGGTAAATATTTATAAATTGCTTGTTTTCCTCACTTCACAGAATGTGTAACATTTCTTATTTTTCCTATCTATATGCATGTTTGAACCCAATAGGCCAGAACCTGTTTTGTGGACAAAGGATGGAGGAGAATTACCAGATCCTGACCGAATGGTTGTGAGTGGTAGGGAGCTAAACATTCTGTTCCTGAACAAAACGGATAATGGTACATACCGATGTGAAGCCACAAACACCATTGGCCAAAGCAGCGCAGAGTACGTTCTCATTGTGCATGGTGAGTACCTTTTGAAAGACACCACATGTGAAAAGAAAAATGACCTGACAAGCCTCTTTACATTGATCTAAATCTTTAGAAAAATAGAATTAAACAGTTTCTTTCTTTCTGAAGGACTTCTCTTAAGTATAAATGACTCCAGGTTTATAATTAAGGTGTTCTAAGACAGACTAATTAAATAAATTACAGCATTCACTAGAAATAAAAATTTGTTTTGAAAAAACCTTTCTTATAAATATTTGTATTTGATTTCTTATGACTAGTAATTATATTAACAACTAATTTTTATAAATAAGTGCATTTATTTATAATCTATAATCATGAAAACTGTATTTACCTTCAGCTAACTATGGTTGTGTTATCATAAAAGTGTTCTTTGTTATCACAAAAATTTGCTGCACAAAGAATTAGAGTACCTCATTGAGATGTAGCAGACAGAAGTGTACAACATTAACTATAATATTAATTTCCTATGAACCATAAGTTGAAATTTCTATAGATATTTCTCACAGTACAAGAAAAAACAGCAAAAGGACAGAAATAAGAGAACCTCTGGTTTTCCCAACCTCCAAAAACTGTAATGGTTTTTTCATAAGGTAGCTTTGACATGTTGTAGAAAGAGTTGAATTTTTATGAGATTGACAAATATTGCAATAAATAAAATTAGGCAGCTTTCTTTATTGCAGTACTTCTCAGGGTTTATTTTAGATGTCAGGCAGCATTGTGAATCTCTAAGAGAAAGAATCTTAGAAAATGTTTCATTTTTCTCATATATTTCACCAAAAAAACCACCATTCTGAGGGCAGTATTGCATTTTATACAGTATTTCAAAATTCAAAACAAGTATCATATAAAATGCAATGCAGTGATAATTCCAGTAGATATTTAGAATCATGGAGAGAGTATATTTATTTGATATATTTCCAATGAATCCAGTCATAGAATATTTAAGAAGTACAGGTTAATTCTATACATTTCTAAAAGAGAATTTTGGAGGTCATGACTATTTTCAAATTTTAATTAATCAAATTTAATTTATTGGCTTAATTGATTAAATTTAATTTAGCTTAACTTTAGTGAAAATAATTTACCCAATTAGTGCCATTTCCCCAAAGTTTTCATTTTGTTATGATGCAGGGAGACTTAGAGAAAAGGTAGTGCTCATATATAGCTTTCCTCTTTTAAATTTTTTTAGTGTATAAAATCTTCTGAATTTTAATATCATTGTATGATGGTCAGAGGTGAAAGCTCACAATAGATAGACTCTCCAACCTGCAGACATCCTCAAAATAGTAGTTCTAAGAGTTTAATTTGTAGCATCTCAGGAAATGTGCAAAGTCGACTTTGGGAAAGATTAACCTAATCAAATTAGACTCATGAATTAGACCTAAATGTAGTAAATTCCTGTAGAGAAACCCTGCGGGCCTTACTGCAGAAAATATAACAAGAAGACAAGTTAGATCTTGAGAGCAGGATCCAAGAGTAACCTTCAGTTTGTGAGACCTGGCTGTTTAGATCATGCAGTCTCATCAGTTAAGTATAGTCTATCTGATTTACCCTTGATTTCCTAAGTGCTCCTCTCACCCAATGGTGGGAACCTGGGGGCTTGTTGCATAGCATGTCACATTGTGTTGAAAGCAATATGACATAAAAATATAGAAAATTAGAAGGGAAGTGACAGAAAAAATAATATACTCAGATGAAATGTACGCCATTTGTTTTTTAAAAGTAACTCAAGTAGAGAAAATTCATATGCTTTCCCAGTGTTTGCAAGCGAACCAACAGCATGGTTTCCTAAATAGCCAAGCTACCTTTAGGTAGTTGGCAGTTGACATATTGCTAATAAATACTTCTCTGAGCACTTTGTAAGAAGCCATTTTTGGCTTTGCTTTCTGGACTCCAATTCATCAAAAGCACCCCATAGATTAATGCTACTCATGCTGCTAGATAAACGCTGTGAAGTTCAACAGTAGTTTACCTAGGATTATTGACACAAGTAATGAGAGGCTCAGTGAAACAGTGAAACCATATTACACTGTGTTTAAAAAGGGCTCCAATTGGGTTCATTACAAAATAAAGTTTCTTTTTCCCCTTTGCACACTGAGCATAATGTTTCATTAGTCACTGGCAGTATAAAAATAAAAAAGCTACTCTCCTCTGTTAATGGTTTGGCCGTTTCAAAACCCTACTAAATGATGAAATTTGAGTGGCATTTCAATCTATAATGAATGCTGTATGCATTTCTGAACACAGTGATAACTGATCATTTGTGAGAACTTTACCCTTTTGTCTTTTACACAAAAGTTGATTTTACATTAGCTGTGATAATTTAATATAGCTCTAGCACAGAATGGTTTTCCAAGAGCTGAGACCCGCGCCTTTGACTCTACCACAGTTGCCTAGTTCTATTGATTCTTAACGTGATGACAGTCTGAGCACTTGCGAAATCATCTATCTAGATGCCACCCCAGTAGTTAGACTTTATTCTTTGGGCATCAATAGAAGAAGCACATTGTTTACATGTTACATTGAATTAGTACTAACATGAGCATTTTGTGTTTTGTACATTGGAGAGGCTTTTTTTTTTTTTTGTCTGTCCTCTAAATTACAACTTTAAAAATCTCAGTATTAGGGCTATTGATGGGAATTTGAGACTCTCGGCATAAAATTCACCTTCAGAAGAAAGCCTAGCAAAAGTCTTCAAACACATAGCTGTAGTTTAAATTTTGGTGTTTTTTTTTTTTTTTGTACGTTTGCATTGGAAGAGATAGTTGCACTTTCAGTAACCAGTTCAACAATGAATTGATTAATCTGTTAAATTAATACCCATCATTATGCCAATTAATTCCTGTGAACACAGTAGTTTCTTATTTTGTGCCTTTTTTCAAGAAAATGTTGTGTCTTGCTATTTTGTCATACTATTTATTTGTTTTGAGTGACTGATTACATCCATAATTTTAATGGCTTTGAAATGTTTTGTTCCATTGCTGTTCTTACCATTTGGAGAACTCAGATCAAGAGAAAAAGTTATTCATTCCCCAAATATGTAGATATTAAATACCTATCTTCCAAGTGAAAGAGCTCCATAACAGCAGAGGTAGATGACACTCAAGGAGATGATAGCTTAATGTGAAAGATAAATTAATAGAGCACATAAAAGGTAACCTATAGAAGTGAAATTGACACTTTGAGATGCAATGACTTTGAACAGCCTTTGTCTTGACTATTGAAGAACAGGTTTTTTTAACTCTTTACTTAATCTTATGTGCATAAAGTTAATTGAAAATAGATCTTATTAAAAAATAAGAATAGAGGAATGGAAGAGGGGGGAGGAAGAAGTAAGGGAATATGGATGGAAAGAATCACTGTGTTCCTAAGTCACATTTATGAAATGCATAGTTTGTATACTGTAAATAAAAAGTTTATGGGTAAAAATAAATAAATAAATACAATAATATTTCAAAAAATATGCATTCAAAAAATACCAAATAGAAGAAAATCTATAAGAAGCTAGTCCTCCAGTACTGTTTTGTTCTTAGCCTTCAGGAGTTTAGTCCAAATGTCTGGAATTGAAACAATAATAACACAGTGACCTTGGATTATTCATAAATAAGTGGTACACATCACAAATGGAAATTCTCAGCACTCTGCCAGCTAACCAGATATAGAACTAATATTATTCCTCATTATTATTATATTTCCGATAGTGTTATTATACCAAAGGCAATCTAACTACAATTCTCTGGGGGAAAAAAGCCTACCCAAAAGTTGCATATAATTCATTACACATGGTGTTCTCTGCATTTCAACAAAATAAGACTAATTCAAAATGGTGCTGGCATTATAACTCAGTTGGTAAAGCTACTGCTTGTAACACCAGCATCCTATATTGGAGTGCCAGTTCAAGTGTTGACTGCTCTGCTTCTGATCCAGTTTCCTGCTAGTTTGTCTGCCAAGGCAGGTGAAGATGGCCCACATACTTTGGTTCCTGCCACCCACATGGGAGACCAGAAAAGAGTTCCTAGCTCTTTAGCTTCAGCCTAGCCAAAACCTTGTTGTGGCCATTTGAGGAGTGAATTAGTGGATGTAAACTCGCTCGCACTCTCTCTCTCTCTCTCTCTTTCAATCTCTCCCTTCCTCTTCCTTTCAAATACATAAACAAGTCTTATAAGAAGTCAGTGCAAAATGAAATTAAAAGGTTTGTCCAAATAGGAAGTAAAAAAGTATTTTGGTTTAAAAATTTCATTATTCATGCATGATTTTTTTTAATAATACACATTTCCATGAACTTTTTAAAGATTGCAACATTAGCAAAGTGAAAATATAGAGCCCAGAAAAAAAAAGTTATAATTGTCCCCTTTTCCCTCGAACAATATCAATGTAGATGATTTAGGTAACTTTTCTTCTGCCCACGCATAGCTTAGAAAGATCTACATCCATCCACTCTAGTGAGATTAGCAGACACTTATTTATCACACTTGCAACGGCTTTAAGAAATTATCAGTGACTTTACAGTAAGCAATTCAATTTCTTCTATTTACTTATCACCAACTGCTTAAAAGATACTGTTTTGAAAGTGTCAAAAATGCACTATACCTGAGAAATTCTGAGAAAGAATATGTATGGGGCAAGAGAAACAAATCACCACATCCCCTCCCATTTCCTAAACTTTTCCTATTTGGCCTTCAATGATTTTTTTTCTGAGTTTTAAGCTTTTTATTCAGAGAGAGAAATGCATAGGAGACTGAGGGCTCTATCGAAGAGAGAGAGGAAAATCTGGATTCATACCAAGTACCACAAGCCAACCACATGGATGAGCATGTAGCCAGGAAGCTGAAATGTCACACACCCCGAAAGTGCGGGGGCAGCAAGTGGGCCCACAGAAGAAGGAAAAAAGGCCAAAGAAAAGGCTGGGCCCACCTTGTGCCAGGCCTTTTATTCACTTCCAAAGGGGAGTGGCTAATTACCCTGATTGGCAGGTGGTCACACAGGTGTGGCCA